TACTGTGAAAGGCAAAATAGAAGTCTCTGAAATTTCCCTACTCTTCTACCTTGGCCATATAGTAATTCAAAAACAATGTCACATCCAAGAAGGAATAGCAGAGATAATTTCACTTCTAGAGACCTAAAGTATGCAAGGGTGATAACTTTCATTCCATCTCCCATTTAATAAATCTGTCTGGCCTTTGCAAAAGTCTGATGGATCCTGGAGGATGACAGCGGACAATTAGAAATTCAATCAAGTAGTAACCCCAGTTGAAGCTTCGTTGCCAAATGCGATATCTTAGCTAAACTATATCAGCATGAACTCAGGTACTTTTTAACATGGCCATTGAATCTATTGTTTTAAGAAAGGGGGACCACAAACAGTTCACATTTAGTTGGAATGGCTAGCAGTATACATTTATGGCTATGATGTGGGCTCCATTAATTATCCTACTCTCTCTTATAATATGGTCTTTAGGGACTTGGACTATTTGGAGGTCTGCAGAACATCATATTGGTCCAGTTTATTTATGTTCATTGGACTAGATGAGCAGGGAGTGGAAAGTACATTAAAGGCCACTCCAGAGAATGGCAGATAAACCCTATGGAGATTTAAGACTTTGACATATCAATAAAATTTTTAATAGTCCAGTGGCCTAGGACATGCTAGGGCATCCCGTACAAAGTAAATGACAAATTATTGCATTTTGCACATCCCACAGTCAAGAAGGAAGCACAACTATGGTAGGCCTCTTCAAGTTCTAGAGGTAAGAGACACATACTTCCTTTACCCCTATACTGTGTGACACCAAAGGCTGCCAGATGGAGGGATGTTAGCAAAATGATAGAATAGATAGCTCCAAGTTCTCTTTTTAGAGCTCTGGAAAATAGGCAAATATTTACTACAACCAAGTGAATGCTGAAGCAAGAAAAAGATAACTTAAAATCAGTAGGAAAGCATCTGTGATGTTTTCCTTGCACTCATCCCAACCTCTTCCTTGACTTAGCAGCAGTCTTGAAAGTGCCAGTCCATATTCCCAGTGTGGGACCCTAGTCCTTTCTTCTGGAGGGAGCAGAGCAGACCTTATTCTCAAAGAAGAGTGTTTGTCTGTTCTAACCTGTCTGGTGCCTACCTTAAAGACTGACATAAGTTACTGGCTTTTGTTTCACCTAACTTGGAGCTCATTGAAGAAGGAAAAGTAACAGGCATTATCCTAAAATTTTGTAAGACAACCAGCTAACCCATGGCCATCTGGGGCAAAAGATTAGAACTGAGATACAATAGAGTACCAAGACACTCTAGGGAGAGAGTTTCTCTGAGAAATTAGGACATTCAAAAGTGCCTGTGTGTATAGGGGAATTAAGAAAACCACATGCATGTCCAAGACAAGATGTACACTTGGGAGAGACTTGAGAAGACTCTAAGCTTTCATCTGTGGCTGCTCTATAGGCTTAGTACAAGGAGAAAATGAATGATAAATGAAAATGATCAGAGATTTACAGAGATGTAAATTACCTGGCTAAACATTGGAGGAGTGTCCTAACACAGACAGCTAATTTTCAAAGATGGAACTGAGAGAGTTTTTCTTTTTTATTTCTTTTTTTCCTCTCTCTCCCTATCTTCTCTCTCTCTCTCTCTCTCTCTCTCTCTCTCTCTCTCTCTCTCTTTCTCTCTCTCTCGTGTATGTCTTCTGGAGGTAAAGGAAATATCTGTTAAAGGAACAGAGACTTTAGAGACCACACATGAAAAAGAATATGGACTTTACATAAGTAGTTTAGAAGTCACTAAACAGCTGCCGTTCACAGCAAGTGAGCAAACAAATAAAACTATCCTGAGAGGAGGAAGAATCTAATTTCCAGGGTTACCAACTTATAGTATTTAAAATCTCTAATTTCCAACAAAAAAGCATGCAATGAAATAAGAAAGTATGGCCTCTTCACAGAAAAAAAGTGAACATAAACTGTCTCTGAGGAAGTGCACAGATATTAGAATTTTTAGACAAAGACTTTAAATCAAGTATATTTAATATGCTCAAAGAGCTAAAGGAAACCAGGAGAATGAAGTAAAAACAAATAGAGGATATCAATAAATAAATGGAAATGATAAAAACTAAAATTCTGGACCTGAAAAGTACAATAGCTAAAATAAAAAAACCCACTAAGAGTTAATAGGTTTAAGCAGGCAGAAGAAAGAATCTGTGCCTTGAAGCTAGGACATTTGAAATGATCCAATCTGGGGAGCATAAAGCAAAAAGAAAGAGGAAAAATGAACAGAGCCTAAGAGACCTGTGGGACACCATTAAGCGTAGTGATGTATCCTTAATGTGAATACCAGAAGGGGAGAAGAGAGAGAAATAACAAAATAATGTTTGAAGCAATGGCTGAAAACTTCCCAAATTTGATAAAATATAGGAATCTACCCATTGAAGAATCTCAACAAACTCCAAGAAGGACAAATGCAGAGAGCTCTGTACTGAGACACATTATAATCAGTTGTCAAAAGCCCAGGATAAAGAAACAATCCTGAAAGCAGCAAGAGAGAAGCAATTTGTCATCTACAAGTTATCCTCAATAAGATTAAAAGCATATTTCTCATTAAAAAACCCATGGATTCCAGAAGATAGGGATGACATTCTTAAAGGGCTAAAAGAAGTGCTATTAACCAGGAATTCTGTAACCAAAAATACTATGATTCAAAAATGAAGGAGAAATTAAGATATCTCTGATTTTTTAAAAAAGACAAAACAAAAAAACTGAGTGAATTTACCATTAGTGGACATGCCCTACAAGAAATGCTAAAGAGAGTCCTTCAAGTTGAAATAAAAGGACACTAGACAATAACTTGAAGCCATACAAAGAAATAAAAAACTCCAATGAAGTTAACATCAAAGGTAGATATGAAAGCCAGTATCATTGTATTTTGGGTTTGTAACTCCTCTTATTTGCTATGTGATTTAAAAGACAAATACACAAAACAGTAATTATAAATGTATGTTAATGGCACACAATTTTTAAAAGATGTAATTTGTGATTGCAACAAAAGAGGAGGGCCAGGTACAGTGGCTCATGCCTGTAATCCCAGCACTTTGGGAGGCCAAGGCAGGGGGATCACTTGAGGTCAGGAGTTCAATACCAGCCTGGCCAACATGGTGAAACCCCATCTCTACTAAAAATACAAATAATTAGCTGGGCGTGGTAGTGCACACCTGTAACCCCAGCTCTCGGGAGGCTGGGGCAGGAAAATCTCTTGAACCCAGGAGGTGGAGATTGCAGAGTTGAGATTGCACCATAGCACTCCAGCCTGGGTGACAGAGTGAGACTCTGTCTCAAAGAAAAAAAAACAACAAAAACAGCAACAGAAAAAGGGGAGGATGAAGCTATATAGCTGTAGAGTTTTAAAAATTTATTCTGTTGAAGCTTAGTTGGTATGAACTCAAACTAGAGTAGTACAAATTTAGGATGTTAATTGTAATCTTCATGGTAATCACTAAGAAAGTAACTAAAAAATGTACACAAAAAGAAATCAGAAGGGAATCAAAATGATACACTAGAAAAAGGCAATTTAAAAGGCTACCAAATTTGAATAGGGCCCAGAACAGAAAGGGCATTGCAGTAGGTCTAGGCTACTGTCCAAATGGCCCAGTTGCTTGGGACAGGTGATCCATCAGACTATGATATTAAAGGTATCGGTGGTGGGAAACAATACGATCTGGAGTTTATTGCAAATAAGATATTTACAATGTAAATCCTTAGGCTTCTGGAGCAAGGCCATACCATCTGTAGCAGAAAATTACCTTTAAAAACACTGCCTGTCACCAGGCCTTAGTAGAGATAAAGCACCTGACCATGGGACATCAAGTGACCATGAAGCCAGAACTTCTCATCATGAGTTGGTTTGTTAAACCCAACTCCATGTCATCCATCACTGTTGCACCAGTACCTCTGTCTCAGCTCATACCTATGCCCACACGAGGTGTTTAACTGTTGGAGGAGGAAAGAGACTGACCTTGGTTCATGGATGGCTCAGCTTGGTATGTGGATGCCAGCTGAAAATGAATTGTAGCTTCACTACAGTCTTACTCAGGGTTAGGAAGATAGCAATAAGGAGAAATCCACCCAAAGGGCAGAATTTCAGATGGTACAACTAGTAATCATTTTGTGTGGGAAGAGAAGTGGTCTGATATTAGAATATGCAGACTCACAGGCAGTGGCCAGCTAGTCACGGCTTGGAAGGAAAAATACTGAGAGATTGGGAACAAGGAGATCTGGGGAAGACGCATGTGGATATACCTAAAACAGTGAGCACTCACCAATGCTGAACTAGCTCTTGATGCTGCTGCATGCCCAGCCTGCCAGCAACAAAGACCAATGTTGAGCTTCCACTGTGACATTTTCTCTTGAGGATACCAATAAGCCAGTTGGCAACAAGTTGCCTACAATGAAGTAAAACTAATTTATCTTCATTGGAATCAATAAACATTCTGGGTATAAATATCTGTCTCCTGCTTGCAGACTGTAACCAGCACTACTATCTTAAAGTTTAAGAGGATTCGTTCCATTTACACAGGATCCTTCATAAAATCACATTAGACCAAGTGACCTGTACATCAGAGGAGGTGTGGCAGTGGTCTTGTGAACATGCACTGGATCTCTTACTTATAGCAGCACTCAAAGCTGATAGTATGATAGAGCAACAGATCAATGAATGACCTGTTGAAAGCACAGCTGAAGTGGCAGCTTGGAAGTGATACCTCACATGGATGGGATGTAATCCTCTAGGCTACAGTATATACCATGAATCAATGGCCTTTATATGATGATGTGTTTCCAGTAGACATAATGCATGGTTCTGAGAATAAAGGGCTAGAAGTAGGAATGGTCCTGCCTGGGCACGGTGGTTCATGCCTGTAATCCCAGCACTTTGGGAGGCCAAGGTGGGTGGATCACTTGAAGTCAGGAGTTTGAAACCAGCCTGGCCAATATGGCAAAACCCTGTCTCTACTTAAAAAAAAATGAGTGCTCACCTTGGCAGCACATATATTAAAATTGGAACGATACAGAGAAGATTAGCAAGGCCCTTGCACAAGGATGACATGCAAATTCGAGAAGTGTTTCATATTTTTCAAAAGAGACAAGGGCATTACATAATGGTAAAAGGATCAATGCAACAAAAAGAGCTAACTATCCTAAATATATATGCACCCAATACAGGAGCACCCAGACACATAAAGCAAGTTCTTAACAACCTACAAAGAGACATAGACTCCCACACAATATTAGTGGGAAACTTTAACACTCCACTGTCAATATTAGACAGATCAATGAGACAGAAAATTAACAAGGATATCCAGGACTTGAGCGTAGATCTGGACCAAGAGGACCTAATAGACATCTACAGAACTCTCCACCGCAAATCCACAGAATATACATTCTTCTCAGCACCACATCATGCTTACTCTAAAACTGACCACATAACTGGAAGTAAATCGCTCCTCAGCAAATACTAAAGAACAGAAACCCTAACAGTCTCTCAGACCACAGTATAATCAAATTAGAACTCAGGACTAAGAAAACTCACCCAAAACGACACAACTATATGGAAACTGAACAACTTCCTCCTGAATGATGACTGGATAAACAATGAAATGAAGGCAGAAATAAAGATGTTCTTCAAAACCAATGAGAACAAGTACATAACATACCAGAGTCTCTGGGACACATTTAAAGCAGTGTCTACAGGAAAATTTATAGCAATAAATGCCCACATGAGAAGCAAGGAAAGATCTAAAATCGACATCCTATCATCAAAATTGAAAGAGCTAGAATAGCAAGATCAAAAAAATTTAAAAGCTAGCAGAAGACAAGAAATAACTAAGATCAGAGCAGAACTGAAGAAGATAGAGACACAAAAAAAATCCTTTAAAAAATCAATAAATCCAGGAGCTGGTTTTTTGAAAAGATCAACAAAATAGACCACTAGCCAGATTAATAAAAAAGAAAAGAGAGAAGAATCAAATAGATGCAATAGAAAACAATAAAGGAGATATCACCACTGATTCCACAGAAATATAAACTACCATCAGAGATTACTGCAAACAACTCTATGCATATAAATTAGTAAGCCTGGAAGAAATGGATAAATTCCTGAACATTTACACCCTCCCAAGACTAAACCAGGAAGAAGTTGAATCCCTGAGTAGACCAATACAATATCAGAAGTTGAGGCAGCAATTAATAACCTACTAACCAAAAAAAGTCCAGGTCCAGATGGGTTTACAGCCAAAATCTACTTGACGTACAAAGAGGAGCTGGTACCATTCCTTCTGAAACTATTCCAAACAATACAAAAAGTGGGAATCCTCCCTAACTCATTTTATGAGACCAACATCATCCTGATACCAAAACCTGGCAGAGACACAACAAAAAAAGAAAACTTCATGGCAATTGATGAACATCGATGCAAAAATCTTCAATAATACTGGCAAACAAATTGCAACAGCACATCAAAAAGCTTATCCATCATGATCAAGTAGGCTTCATCCTGGGGATTCAAGGCTGGTCCACATACGAAAATCTAGAAACGTAATCCATCACATAAACAGAATCAAAGATAAAAACCACATGATCATCTCAATAGATGCAGAGAAGGCCTTCGAAAAAATTCAACAGCCCTTTATGCTAAAAACTCTCAATAAACTAGGTATCAATGGAATGTATCTCAAAATAATAAAAGTTATTTACAACAAACCCACAGCCAATATCATACTGAACAGGCAAAACCTGGAAGCATTCCCTTTGAAATCTGGCACTAGACAAGGCTGTCCTCTCTCACTACTCCTATTCAAATAGTATTGGAAGTTCTAGCCAGAGCAATCAGGCATGAAAAAGAAATAAAGGTATTCAATTAGGAAAAGAGGAAGTCAAATTATCTCTATTTGCAGATGACATGATTGTATATTTAGAAGATCCCAGCATCTCAGCCCAAAATCTCCTTAAGCTGATAAGCAACTTTAGCAAAGTCTCAGGATGCAAAATCAATGTGCAGAAATCACAAGCATTCCTATACACCAATAACAGACTTAAAGAGATCCAAATTATGAGCAAACTCCCATTCACAATTGCTACAAAGAGAATAAAATACCTAGGAATACAAGCAACAAAGGATGTGAAGGACCTTTTCAAGGAGAACTACAAACCACTGCTCAAGGAAATAAGAGTGGACACAAACAGATTGAAAAACATTCCATGCTTATGGTTAGGAAGAATCAATATGGTGAAAATGTCCATACTGCCTAAAGTAATTTACAGATTCAATGCTATCCCCATCAAGCTACCATTGACCTTCACAGAACTGGAAAAAAACACCTTAAAGTTCATATGGAACCAAAAGAGAGCCCACATGGCCAAGACAACCATAAGGAAAAAAAAAAAAAAAAAAAAAAGAAGGCATCATGCTACCTGACTTTAAACTATACTATAAGGCTACAGTAATCAAAACAGCATGCTACTGGTATCAAAACAGAAATATAGACCAATGGAACAGAACAGAGGCCTCAGAAGTAGCACCGTACATCTACAACCATGTGATCTTTGACAAATCTGACAAAAACAAGCAAAGGGGAAAGGAATCCCTGTTTAATAAATGGTGTTGGGAAAACTGGCTAGCCATGTGCAGAAAGCTGAAACTGAACCCCTTCCTTACACCTTACACTAAAATTAACTCCAGATGGATTAAAGATTTAAACATAAGACCTGATACCATAAAAACCCTAGAAGAAAAACTAGGCAAAACCATTCAGGACATAGGTGTAGGCAAGGACTTCATGACTAAAACACCAAAAGCAATGGCAACAGAAGCCAAAATAGACAAGTAGTATCTAATTAAACTTGAGTTTCTGCACAGCAAAAGAAACAATCATCAGAGTGAACTGGCAACCAACAAGATGTGAAAAAAATTTTGCAATCTACCTGTCTGACAAAGGGCTAATATCCAGAATCTGCAAAGAACTATATCAGATTTACAAGAAAAAACAAACCCATTCAAAAGTGGGCAAAAGACGTGAACAGACACTTTTCAAAAGAAGACATTTATGAGGCCAAGAAACATGAAAAAATGCTCATCATCACTGGTCATTAGAGAAATGCAAATCAAAACCACATTGAGATACCACCTCACACCAGTTAGAATAGTGATCATTAAAAAATCTGGAGACAACAGATGCTGTTGAGGATGTGGAGAAATAGGAACACTTTTACACGTTGGTAGGAGTGTAAATTAGTTCAACCATTGTGGAAGACAGTGTGGTGATTCCTCAAGGATCTAGAAATAGAAATTCCATTTGACCCAGCAATCCCATTACTGGGTATATACCCAAATGGTTATAAATCATTCTATTATAAAGACACATGCACATGTATGTTCATTGTGGCACTGTTTACAATAGCAAAGACCTGGAACCAACCCAAATGCCCATCAATGATAGACTGGACAAAGAAAATATGGCACATATACACCATGGAATACTATGCAGCCATAAAAATCAATGAGTTCATGTCCTTTATAGGGATATGCATGAATCTGGCAACCATCTTTCTCAGAAAACTGACACAAGAACAGAAAATCAAACACTGCATGTTCCACTCATAGGCATATGTTGAACAATGATAACACATGGGCACAGGGGGTAACATCACACACTGGGGTCTGTTGTGTGGTGGGAGGCTAGGGGAGGGACAGTGGAGCATGGGGATGTTGAGGAGGGGTAACATTGGGAGAAATGCCTGATGTAGTTGACAGAGGGATGGAGACAGCAAACCACTATGGCATGTGTGTATATATGCAACAATCCTGCAAGATGTGCACATGTACCCCAGAACTTAAAGTACAATAAAAAAAAATTGCCCTCCGAAATTTTTATAATCACTCCTTTCATTAAATGTAAAGACTAGGTAATTTGTGTGTTCCACTTTTCCAGGCAATTCAAGATGAAAAGGCAACCCTCCCCCACAAAAAAAAGATGAAGTTAACTGGGCCTGGTGGTGGGTGCCTGTATTCCCAGCTACTCGGGAGGCTGAGGCACGAGAATTGCTTGAACCCTGGAGGCAGGAGGTGGGAGAGGGTAGAGACTGCAGTGAGCTCAGATGGCACCTCTACACTCCAGCCTGGGCGACAGAGCCAGACTCTGTCTCAAAAAAAAAAAAAAATGTAGAAGTGGTCCTGCTTATCATCATTCTCAGGAACCCACTTTTGGGGAATTTGTGTTTCTGGTTCTTGCAACTCTTACTTCTGATTAGCTTCTAGCTTCAAAGTCCTGGTTTACAGGAGGAAAATGCTCTTGTCCCGGAACTCAGCAAAACTCTTGGAAAAAAAATAAATAAAACTTCAGGTGATAGCGTCTTGTAGGTCACTTTGGGCATCTTTTGCCAGGAAACAAGCAGACAAAGACAGGAGTCATCATTCTGATTTTCAGGAGGAGAGAGCTATCAGGTGATCCACTGGGAATCTCTTGGAATTCCCTTGCCCACTTTTTTTCTTTTCTTTTTTTTTTTTTTGAGATGAAGTCTCACTCTTGTCACCCAGGCTGGAGTATAGTGGCATGATCTTGACTAACTGCAACCTCCACCTCCCTGGTTCAAGCGATTCTCCTGCCTCAGCCTCCTGAGTAGCTGGGACAACGGGCGCATGCCACCATGGCCGGCTGATTTTTGTATTTTCACCATGTTGGCCAGGCTGGTCTTGAGCTTCTGACCTCATGTGTTCCACCCACTTTGGCCTCCCAAAATGCTGGGATTACAGGCGTGAGCCGCTGTGCCCAGTCCCTTGCCCACTTTTGGTAGTAAATGGACAAGTGTAGGAATCATGCTTGACCAAGGTAACCGGGAGCTCAGACTCCTTAAGGATGAGAGTCTGTGTCTCTTCACCAGGTAAACCATTAGACTAGCAGAACTGCTAGCAGAGGGTGAGGGGAATGTAGCATGGATGGAGGAGGAAGGGGATAAAGAACATTAGTAATGGCTATGAAGCCAGATGCAGCAGCAGAGGATAAGAACATTTGTTCCATTTACACAGGATCCTTCATAAAATCACATTAAACCAAGTGACCTGTGCAACAAAGGAGGATAA